ATTTTACAAAAAAAAGTCAATTTCAATCAGGACTCGAATTTAAGGTGAAAATGACGAGAGCTCTTATTAAGACATCCTCTCGGACGAAATTTTTTCATCGCATACCTAATTAAAATTAAATCGACTTAATCATACGATATCAATTTCGCGTATAATTTTGTTCCCTCTCGCCGCAAAAAAAGAGAAAAAAAAATGAAACGAGCGAAGCAGCAGCAATAGCAGCCACGCAGGTGCGCGCGCAAAAGCGAGATTTTTCGTGAAACCTGCAGGAGGATGTATAAGCGAACGAAAGGGAAAGGCATTATAAAGCAGCCGAGAAAGAAAGGAGAAGAAGCAAAAGAATTGCCTTGACGCGCGCGGGGAACTCGTCCGGCAAGCTTTTTGGACGCGCGCCGACACACGCGCGTACGAGCGAGCAGCAAAGGGAGCTTGACCTCTTGATACTCTCGCCAAGATGACTTCCGTCATTCGGCTATATGGATTCCGGTTGCGTGCGCCATGCCCGTAACATCATTTGTGAAGTTCGCGCTCGCTCGGTTAATATACTTTTTTTGCGCGAATATAATAAAGCCGATACGATGCAAATTTTAATATATTTGTAATTTTACGAGCGACGTTTATCCGCGGCCAAAGGTACGTTAAATTAATTTACTCGATGGCTTCTAAATCAATAAAGTTTTTTCTCGCCTCTCGAGCTCCGCGAAACTTAGCCTCTTTGTACGTGGCCAGCGCTCTCACGGCATTTCACCAGCGCGCAACAAAACGTTATGTTACAATCTAGCGATCAATCAGCAATTACATTCCGAAACTTATCGCGCGCGATCTCCATCGCCCATTACGTCATTTAATTGAGAGAGACAGAGAGAGAGAGAGAGAGAGAGAGAAACGTATCCTGGCAAGCGTCTAGCTGGAGACTGCATCCCAATGCGTGAAGCCCGCTAATTTAAATGCGCTATCAGCTAAAACTAGACGAGCAAAGAGCGCAAGCGCGAAGGGGGTCGCAATTACAAGTCTTATCGTGCTTTGCATTCCTAGGCAAGATTAAGCCGTATATGATCGCTTCTCGTGGATTAATCCACCATTAATAATCCCTATGGCGTGAGGATGCAGCGATATATCACAGGTTTGCTCGCGCTTTAAACGCTTCGCAGATAAAACACACACGTGTGCGCGTGTGTGTGCGCGTGTGTGTGCGCGTGTGTGTGCGTGTTGGTCTGCATACGCGCGCGTATTTTATAGGCCTTGACCCTCGAAAGAAGAGGCTGGGCTCGGAAGATCGTGTAAGATAAGCGCTCCAGTGCAGCGCATGTATTCTTTTCCCTGGAATATCACGATGTATATACTCTTCTTAGTTTTTTCATTCTGCTTTCTAAAACGAAATTGCGCTGCGGCCAAGAATAGCCTTGGCGAAACGTTTAGAGCGCGTAAAAGATTCGAGCTCGCAGTTCTAATATAACGAGAGTGAGGCGCAATTTTCGCGATATTATAATGAGATCTCCTCCTCCTCTCCGCAGAGGTTCAGGCTGCATAGGTAAACTGCGCCGCTTTCTGATGGCGCGAGATAAAGCGATGTATAACCCGAAGAAGAAGAAGAAGAAGAAGAGGAGGAGGAGGAGGCGGAGGAGGAGAGGAGTAGGAGGAGGACAACGACGACGAGGGCTAGGACGAGGAGGTGAGCATATAACGAAGCTCGAAAAATGAAAAGCCTCTAGCGCGCTAGCACTGGTGGCAGCGGCAACAGCCAGCAGCTCGTGGCTATAATAACGCGTTGGACCGTACATCGCATTATAGCCGCGCGTGTGTTAGTATGTGCGCGTATTACGTTTTATCTATAGAGCGTAAACCGGCGCATATTATCCGCCGCCTGTTACGGGGCGGAGTTTGCTGATGAGTTAGCAACGTATTGACTTTATAATAATCACGTTACGGCGAGCGAGCGCTCGACTCTCGCTGCAACGCGCACGCCTAATTAAAATCCTCCTCCGTACTGCCACTACTACACCACTACTGCCGAGACGTCATTCCGAAGAGCTCTTCTTTTTTATTATGCCCGACTGTCTTCTTTGTTTACAATCCTAAGACACTTTTCGCCAGATATGACGTTTTCAATTTTCTAGATCGACGTGGCGAATTAAGTCGTAATTTGCAATTCTCCTTCGAGAAGATCGCAATCGCTTTATTCGTATATCATTCGATAATCGGAGAGCAGAGGCACTGAATACAAAGTGCGAAGTAGATAATCGTGACTTCGCGTTTTGTCGTGATGAATGCTAATAATCCGCGTGAGCCTAGGATTTGCCGCCGCCATGGACGATCTATAAAACTTTTCCAGATGTAATCTCTTTCCATCAACATTCCGTTAACCGTAACGATCGAGATATTTCATCTATATATACTATTTCGGCGGCATTGATCTCCATTATTAACTGATCAAACATCGAACGCTCGCGGGCCATCAAGAAGAAAAGACTTGTGATTGCTCGTGTTGCCTCGTCCATTGAACGACGATTTTGTAAAGTCCTAACTGTAACCGCAATTAATAAATCATCAGCCGCTGCGAAAACATCGAAAGAGATGAAATATCAGATTACACGCTTATCGCGTGGTTATGTGAAAAAAAAATCATTCTAACTAAATGTAGCCAAAAAAATTTTTTCCTTACCTCGAAGCTAATAAATCTCTTATAGCGAAATTCAGCCAATAAATAAGGAATTGCATCGAGGCGCGCGTTCATAAGCCATAAGTTTTCCTTATTAACGAGCTATGGCTGTTGCGCGCGCGACGACGCTGACCTTCCAATCTCACCTCAATTTGCCTACACACGCTCTCGCGAGCGAACGCCTTTCCTATCTAAAATTATCATCTCAAAAAATATATTCCGCAGCACGCGAGAAAGAGAGAGAGAGAGAGATGCTCTCCACGTAATCCGTTAATTACGCGACCACACTCTCGCGTGTGATAAATTACTCACGAAATTGATACGTCTATACGCCGGAGCGCGGCTATCTTACGAAGTTTTTTTGCTTGACCGTATTGACGAGTTGCTGCGCTCAGTTATTGGGCTTTTACGACGCGATGAAAGGTATTGAATTGTTCTTAATGGCAATGAACATTGCCGAAGACATGCGTATCTATGGAATGGTTCAGCCGATTTCGAATGGGGGTGGTCTCATTTAAAAGGGCGCTAGCGAGTTGGTCCCGTGTTATTATTGACTCGATTGAAGCATAACCTTGAATGAACGACATAAATGAAGCTGAAGTCGGCCTTTTATTTATGTCGATTTATGTCGTTCGCGCATCGCAACGACCGCTTGATAAATTTTAGTCTTTACATTGTCATTGCTTAAAAAATACAATACTGCAAAAGTGATCGCGTACTTTTGAACGACATCATAAATCACTGTCAAATTTCAGAAACCTAGACAATAAAACAATGATCGTTTAATCGTTCAAGCACAAGCTTGAAAAGTGCAAAAAAGACGTAGGTGACAGTTTAAGTAGAAAAGTATGTGTTTCTCGTCATTTGGCAGTTCTCTCTGTAGGTCGTATTTATTTTCCAGCGGAATGGCCACGCGAGCAGCCGGCACACACGTACAACCCCCTGATCGATTTAGCGCCAAATGTCGCCGTGTTTTACACTCGGCAATAATAGTTGAAATCTATGTAGCCAATATTTCACGTCACCCGCTTCTCTCTCTCTCTCTCTCTCTCTCTCTCTCTCTCGCCGCGCTGCGCCTCGCTCAGAGGAAACGCGACCCTTTTTCTCTTTCTCTTTCTATACATATCGCAAGATTTAATATCTACGTAATATTTATGATGGAGTAACGGGGTATCACACTGTTATGTATTTCATTGCATAACGAGACAAAAGCCTTTAATTATTTGAGAAAAATGACTGTGTTTTAGTCGAGCCGTTGATACGGTGGGAGTAATAGTCAATAAAGATCGAATTCTGACGAATCACAGGTGATTGTTCTTATAAAAATTAGGCGTTTTCAATTTTTTCTGCGTATCACGCACGGTTGAGTGAAGGAAATTTGAATGCCGCAGTCATATTAAAGTTTAAAGAGCGCTTGCCTCTCGGTCGGCAGAAGACAAAAACAGAGCAGTCGTCCCTAGGGAGGTCGACTTGCGAGAGTCCCTATCCCGGCTGGGTAGCGTAATTTACACGCGACAGTACCGCGTTACACAGTCGGCCAACTTCGAAGATTGCTTTTTAAGAGACACACATGCACTTTTCTTGCGCCGAGCTTTCTCAGTACATCAATCACGTTAATCATTTTTCTCCTATCATTAATCTTTCGCAACAAAAAACGCCATCGTTTTGTCTTGTTCGAATTTTCGTCCGTTACATCTGATTGTCGCGTAAAACATTTGGCTGCTGGAATTCCAATAAATATCGTTATCGAGTTCGCGCGTGCGTATATTGATCATTGGAATAAAATGCGCGCGAGCGAAAATAGCGTTTGAAATTCTGCGGGATCGGTGAAAAGCGAGTGTAGGCTGCTGGATGTTTGACATGGAAATGTCGGGTGGCAAATGCATTAAACATATATCCAGTTGGTTTGCTATCTCTCTCTCGCTTTCTTTCTCTCTCAGTCAGTCCATCGGGATGCCGGTCAGGGAGCCGATGCATTGTGCGGTGTCCTCGGGGCTGTTTGCTTAAGCAAACGAACGAACGAGAAGAAGAGGGCACACAAATCCTTGGCGTCTGGCGGCGCTCGAGGCTGCTAGCGCTATACTCGATCGATATTCCGCGCGCGCGATGGATATCTAAGGAGAGATTCCCCCACCCTGGGTGTACACGATGATCTTTCAAGCTGATTATAATGCGCCTCTCTCTCTCTCTCTCTTTCTCTCTCTTTGCACGGATGAAAAACGGCAATAAAGCCATTTACATTTCGCTAGCAGGCAGAGAGCTGCTAAAGTGTTTTCCTCTTGCATCCTCTTGCGATGAAGGTCTTTTGTACGGAATAAACATCGTAAAATCATCAACTTACCGGGTGAAAGTCGCATGTGTTTAGCATGGAGAGACGGACTGCGAAGAATATGATCGGGGGTGACGGTGACGTTCGCGGGAGCGACTGCAGGTGGCGACAGGTGTGGGTGTGACGGTAGGGTTGGTATTGCTCCACCTCCCGTTATACCACCGCCCGTCGTCGTCGTACATGCCGTCGTCGTCGTCAGCGGCGGCGTTGTCGTCGTGCATACGCTCAGTGCCGATGGCGAGCTGCGCTGGTGCTTCAAACTCTGCTCCGTTCGCCACGCCACTTCGTTCTCACCTATCCAGACTTTACCTGCAAATGAATGATCGTCAGTTAGATTTGCGCGATCAATGACGATGAGAATGAGCAATTTTTCTATTCCTTTGGTTAATCGTCGTCGCGAACGAGAATGTATGTCGGGCGATTGGTCAGTGCGTCACGCTAAGGCTGAAGGCCAATATTGACTAGGGAAATGAAGGAAGAATTAGAAAGAAGGTTGCCAATGGATACGGGATATAAAACTAACTGTAGGCGCATATAATACACACACACACACACACATATATATGGGGGCTTCGTAGCAGCAATAGCAGCAGCTCTTGGAATAATATTAATGGCACGCACATTCGCATACAGACACGTTTCGCCCCTAGTTAATTAGGCTCCACATCTTTCCCTTCCTCTCTCTCTCTCTCTCTCTCTCTCTCTCACTTCCTCGCCGCTCACAATCGCTCCGAATACATATATATGTTTACCCAAGATGCAATTCGCTTCCACATATATGTATGCTAGGGAGAGAGGATGAAAATGCGCGCGCGTGTATCCAAATATCGGGGGCGGCTTTCCTTACGATAGTTTCCCCATAGTTTCGTATAATTTCCGAGAACAATGCGCGCGCTCGCCTCTCCTCTCTGTTTCCACAGCCAGTGTCTAATTACACGTATAGGGGGAACAAGAGAATGATAATCGTGCGACGTCGATCTCCTTTCTCTTCCAGGGGTGGACGTCTGTTTGCGATGTAACTACACTTTTGGTCGCTTTCAGCCATAATAATCCGTGCTCGTGAAGCTCCACGAATTTCTTCCCGATTGGCAATTGCAGCCGGGCGACGATCAGTATCCATCAAATTCGATATTTCGAAAAGATGCAATTCACCGCGCGATAGGCATAATCAGAACAAAGCGCGGCGCGAAGCAAGTCACGCGGGCAGCAATGAGAGAGACGAAGAGCTTGGTAATAGGGACGGGACATTAGGCTGATGAAAATTTTCCGAGTTAAGCTCACGGAAGATTGTCGTCGATTGAGACTCGTCGGGCGCGCTTGCTCGCTCGGGAGCGCTGCACATCAAAGCTTCGCGCTGGCGTGACCGATTCGAGAAAACCGAGCAAGCGCGCAAATATAGGCTCGCATCAGTGCGCGAGCCGAGCGCCTGCCACGTGACTCACCCGTGTATATATAACGCCGTCAGTATTATTTGCTCGATGAATGATTTGCTCCGCTTTCTCTCGCCATACAGCTCCCTTTCACTGCACTGGACCTTGTTATAATCGCGCTGCCCGACTGGTAGCATCGTCCAGTGCAATTCCAGTTCACTCGGCGGGAGCGAGCTCGGAATTTCCTTGGAAAACGAGCGATTTTTACTCGTGGCACGGAGCGCCGTCGTTTCGCGAGAGCTAATCAAGATGCTCGGCCGATGCCAGCACATCTCCGCAAGGTTAAACAGACTTCTTTAATCTCGCGCTGTTTGCATGGCGTAGGCTTTACGCTCGACAGACTGTCCAACCCCTATGGGTCGCAAGCGACCCTCATCTCGTATACTTTCTTCTCCTTCTTCCTCGACCTCAATGCCGAAATTGAATTATCCTCGACTCGAAACTTTTACTAAGCGGTACTACCCCTTATATCGAGGACTCGCGCCCGGCGATTTACGACTTTCGTATGGGTGTTCGCGTGATTCTTTCGCGAGAATTGCGATCGAATCGCGTGCAACGCTCGATCGATCACTCGAACCGAAGCTGTTGTATCTCACGATTCTACGACTCGCCAGTCATATCATTTAATCCTCTCCAGGTCGCATGGTTCGAGTTTACAGCCTAGCTTTGGAAGCGGAATGAACGACAGCCGAAGGCTATGCAAACAAGCATTTACGACCCATCAATTACGTATTCACGCGAGAGGTCTGTGCAGGATCATCAATATAGCCAGCAAAAGAGAGATAGAAACCATTACCAGGAGAGAAAAAAAAATAGGCCTTTTCTGCCCTTGCGCGCGCTCTCAGGACTTTCGGAAAAATCGAACACTTGTCCCAGCTTTTCTCCGAGGGCACTTCGCATAAATAGGACCATTCGTCTGGCGCGTCGTCGTCGTTCTCTCCCTCCTCATTCGGCTCGGACGACGCCCGGTGCTCGCTCTCTTTGCATTTTCTCTCTCACTTTTACTTTGGCCGGTGGCGCGAACTCCATTCTCGGGTTTATCACTGTCCAGATAACGACGATTTACCTACAGGCCGCGATAAGCGAAGGGAGAGCGGAGGCGAGGAAAGAAAAAAGAGCGGATTACGTTGGCTCTCCCAAGAATGGACGCACCTTGCATTTCACTTTAACGGCTCCCCGGGGAACCTACTGCTGCTCGGCTGGCCCTTCGGCATCTTTTGGCATAATGGACCAGCGGCTACATTACTTATTCGTCTTAGGCGTGCGTTTGTTGCTCGTAGCGGCCTTCTGCGCGCGCTCGCGCGCGCCTCGCCAACGAGAATTAATTATTCTCGCTCTCGCGGTGCTTTCCACGGCCCCCCGATACACCAACGACTGACTCTGTGCCACGTGCCGGGTACCGACTTGCAACTTTATTGGCCGAGATAATGGAATTCGCTATAGCTAGATTGACGTGTCTTTGCGCGAGTGACGTTCTTTGTACTGCCTCGTGTAGAATAACGAATTAGAATCGGTTGGGCATTTGCCAAGGTGAAGAGACTTCGCTAATGACGCGCCGGCTAAATATTGATCGAAGGTACAATCGCGAATCGGCGACGATAAAAAATACAGAAGAGCCTCGGCGCCTCGCGTCTTCCTACGGGCATATCCCATCGGAGAGCACCCAGAGTCAGGCCGTGGGCGCGTTTGCTTTTCGAATGTGTTCTCGTGCACGATCAAAAAGTCGAAGGAAGAGCAAGAGCCGTCGAAGCGTGGCAGAAACGTATTAGCGAGCGCAGCCGAGTATAATCCCGAGCCGCCGCCCCGCGTACTCGAGCGAATTGAAAATTCCAGTCTGCTCTTGAAAAGCCCGCGCGCGCGCGGAGTTCGCGATAGGACAGGCCAGCAACAACAACAAAAAATAGCAGGGTGGCGCTGGATAAAGCGCTCGATATAAGATTAATAGTGGAAGGAGAGGGAAAGAGAGAGAGAGAGAGAGAAAGAGAGAGAGAGGCCGCTGATTCGTCTTTGAAGGCGGACCGACCAAATTGAATCCTGTTTAGGACAGCAGCGAGAGAGAAGAAAGAGAGTCTGCGGCGTCCTCGGGCTATCTAGCCAATAAGTAAATTGGCCGCCACCTAACTCGCTCTCCATATCGCGCCTGCTTGATCTTCCGCCGCGTTACCGCCCAGCTGTCTTTATCTTTTTTCGCTCCTCAAACGCATGGATGGAGCTTGTTGCTTTGGCGACACCACCGTATGTACGTTGGGGAAGGACGGAAAAATACAGTAATCTTCTGGTTTTGCCTTGTTGTATCCAGAACTTGACCGAGGGAAGAAAAGTACCGCAAGGCGAGATCCATTGAGAAAGAGACTCCGCGAGAACCCTCAGAACGAGGCACGGACTCCTTTTGAAAAACGTATGCGAGCGTTTAGCATTATATAATGATACACGCGTACGCGTGTGCAAGCGTCGAAAACTCAGTGGCTGGATTATGAGTTTGATTGATGGGCCTATTTATCTGGTGTGTCCGGAAATAGTGGATGGAGCCGAACATTTGCTTATCGGATATTAGCTGTGAATAGACGAGAAAGAGAGAGAAAGAGAGAAAAGGAAGCCGACGATAAGTCGGCGTGACAGTCGCAACGAGTGAGATGCCAATACGGGCTTATTATGCGCCCGATGTATGGCTTAACGGTATGATGGCTAATAATGTTACGAATGCGATGATGAGTGAACGGTGAACACGTGTACGTATTCGAAGGAATTCAATAGCCAAGGTTTCGAGTGTAGCCATTGCTTCCAAGTTAGACGTGCGGCATTATGATTTCTGCCTGCAATTCCGAGTCGAAAATTAGGCAGTTCCAAACGCGTATTGGATAGGACAGGTCAGACGCGCTACGTCGGCTGCCATAATATTTTAACAAATTCAAACGATCGCTCTCGTCAGGAAGAATGTCGACAGGTAAACCAATCGAAAAGGTTGATCTGACAATAATGGTAATGCGGATCGCATGCAATATAAGTGGAAGTATGCGGGCCACCAGCTGAAAGCAGCGCGTCGCGGCCGCGCCGCAGCTCGGCGCGAGAGAATCAATAAAGCCTTCCTTCGACGGCGCGACGGCGGCAGCGAGCGAAGTGATGGACGCCATTTTCCTCGCGAGAAAAGCACGCGAGCGAACCGCGGGCGAGCTTTCGATTGCGCGTGTGTGCGCGTGTGCGCGAGCGCGCACGTATTTTTGATCGACGAGGTAGGTTGGCGCGCACTCTCGCGGAAGGGTTTTCCCTTAGTCGTCGTCGTCGTCGTCGTCGTCGACGCCGCCGCGGGGGCTTGCGCGCGCGCAGACGCAACGCCGCCCTCTCCCACGTAAACCCCGGCGCATAGCATAACTCGCTCCCCTCGCACCTTCGCCTAGCCAATCTGCATGCCGCGCGCCACGCCATTTTGTAAAAGATCGAGCAGCTTGAATTTAAAGCGGCGGGAGTGAAACCCCTTCGCGAGGAGGGGGATGGCTTCGCCTCTTTAGGGTTGAACGAGCGCGCATGCAAAGTAGTTGACTCTTACGCGATTGGTCGGGGCTGGCGCGTTACGCTCTCTTGGGGCGTCACGGCGGGCACATTTCCCGCTTGGTTTGTTCGACCGATTAGGCAAATTTACGGTAGTCCGCGAGCAGGCGATGTCGATCTGGGTAAAAGAATGATGATACGAGAGTGGCTATCATCGACTTTGTAACAAATATATCCCGCTTACGAAAGGATTATCGCTCGAGTCTAGACGAAATCACTCGGGGTGCCGTCTGTCGAGCTAATTGTGCTCTCTAAAAATAAGCTTGCCGCATAATAAGCGGCCCCGAGCCGGCAGTCAAAGCCAGTTTATTTTTTCATTTGTATCGCTGGCCA